CTCATGATTGGAGGAAGCCTGTTTGCAGAGACAAGCTATTTCACTAGTGATTGGAGGCTAGTAATAGGAGGAAGCCTGTCTGCAGGTGCGGTTCTCTCCTCGGCTTACTTCCTTGAATAAGACGCCCTTCAATTTTTAGTGTAAGGATTTTAGAAAAAAGTATCGTCTTATAGTTGGAAAAATACAGTAACTTCTGAATGGTTTTATATCATTTTCTTAATTTCAAAAGAGATCGTTTTGTGTTTGCAGGAATACTGCAGCCAGAGGTTAAAATTACATCATATTGGAGAGGATTTCCAAAAGAATTTAATTCTGTTATATCTGTCCCTAATGAGGAGAAGGTGGATGGATATGATTACTATGCATTCGCTAAAGGTATGTTTCGGCTATAGTACATGACAATCACCTCTGACACTGCCAGCTATTTAAGGCTGCTTCTCACCAGACTTTTTGTAGTTCTCTTGAGATCCTCCGTTTCAGAACAGTCACATGCCACACTTCTGTTCTCTCCTTAAAATATCTTGAAGGGCTGAACAAAAATATAGTTTTGAAGGGCAAGTGAAAAATGATAGTTGTAGAAGTTAGGAGCATTCCACTTTTAGAAATTGTTTAAACAGGAAAACACATGCGGTTTATTTGGATATGAATTTCAAATATGAAATAACTGGTGAGTAGCCATTTTTAAAGCCCTGTTTTATGTATATACATACATATATACAACACATCACTTGATAGTAGGTCTCTTTGTGTAGAATGGAACTGCACTCTTTCATAGTGTGCTAAGTGCTCTAGATACCCAAAGTGTATCAAGAAACACAGTCAAGGTCTTTGAGTCTGGCTTGACTCCTGGTAACCACATCCCTGGAGTTTTCTTGACAGAGTTATAGAAGTGAGTTGCCACTGCCTTCTTCCAGAAAGCTTTTAAAGAATTCCTAGTGTAGTATACAACCCTGGAATTCCCAGTAGCTCTCGTGACCTAGTTCTAATCTGACCCTGCTTGACATCTGAGATTAGTAAAGGGGGACCAGGTGCTGCTACCTCTTCAGAAAAGAAATTGGGTGGAAAAATTCAGCTCTATTTATTTATTTAGGTTAGAACTACTAATGTTTTACAATGTTTTAGGGAACAAATGTCTTTATATCATTGGACGACTACATCTTTCTTTTTCCTCAGTAGCTGAAGTTACACCATGTGCTAGGTCAGGCTAAAATAGGATTGGATAGCTTGCGGTTCAATGTTTTAACGACCAAATTGTTGTCAGGGCACTTATGAATCAGGCCCATCATGTTATGCCATAGTATCATTTATCATCTGAAAATAGCTTGTTATCTGAGCACCATAATTATGGCTTGTTAATCCATGTTTAGAATTTAGTGTGCTATGAACCCCCCACAGAGGCAAAATACTAATGCTGCTGTGCTAAGCCACAGGGTTCATTTTTTTGTTTGTTTATTCAGGGCTTGATAGGATGTATAAACAAGATGAGGGAAAATCATGGCTTGTTCAACTATTCAAAACAATGTTATTGTTGGCTTTCTGTCGGCAACTGTGTCTTTGCATGATAAGTGTAGTGTAAAACATTCTCTTTTTTTGCTGCAATTGGTGCTTTAAAAGGAAGAAAACAAACTAGGAGTTGGCCAAAAGTGCAAGACAAGTTAAAAAGAAAAAACAAAACAAAACACTGACTTTGTGTGATGTATGAAATCAGCCAGCATGGGGCTATGCAAGATATTAAATTCAATCCCATGGATCCTGCTGCAACTAAATTTGGATATTTTGATCTCAATAGATCCATGGTGGGACAAATGCTAGCAAGACCATAGTTGGCTAGCATTTGTCTTTCCTGGATTAGGGAATAGGAAGTATTCACAGCAAGGTAGGCAGAATTTGCATTTATTTCCTAAAAGTTTAAGATGGTCAAGAGGTTTCTTCCATCCTTCTTTACTCTTTAAAAAGCCTAGCATGCTTACAACAGTGCTGGGCTGTTTGATAGAAGAGGTTTCTTTCCTTGAGCTTTTTAAAGGAAGCCTCTATTATGTTAAGAGCCTGGTGCTGAAAGAAAACTTTAGGCTATCTCAAAAAATAAATACAGGCCCCTTCTGTGCTCTGGTTTGATCTGACTGAATTTTCTATGGTTTTTTATGGTTTTCTACCTGACTGGTTTCTATCTGACTGAAAATTCCGTTTCCCCCAATACCAGCAGATAAATGAGGCAAATCCATTCTTCTCTCAGTTGCTGAGTTGCTCAGTGTTATCTGTCCCTAGGAGGAATCTCTGAAGTATCAAAGGTTCCCTTGCAAGCTGTGAAGGAGGAAGAATTGCCTTATTGCCTCTTTCCAAATGATTGAGATTGCATGGAAAGAAATGCTCATCTTGAGCTGAAGATTCACATTATCAATTATATTCCAACTGTTAATACTTAGTGAGATGTGATCTAACAGCCCTGTTCTCCCACTCCATTCTCTTTCAGATAACTACTACAGCTTGAATGTGGGCAGCAGAATAGCAAGACCAGTTACAACAGAAACTGGGCAGACTGTGTCCAACGCTTGGTACAAGTGCCCTGCACAGTAATGCGGAAACTCAAAGACCCGAAAGAAATGCTTCTGTGTGGCAGTTTCTCTAGTTTTTATTAATAAAAGACAATCAAATGTTCATACAACGATCCAAATTGAACATTAAAAAAAAAACTGCTTTAAGCTTGGCAGCTATTATACTAATGCAGAATAAAGGCAGACTAACCAGTATACACCATTTCCAAAATCTGTACAGCATTTAATTAATATTGCCTCTGTTCAGGCCTCCTCTGCCACCCATCGCATGAGTTACACCTGCAAGAAAGATACAGCAGTCATATATTTTTGCTTCAATTAACTTCTATTTGCCTTTTGATATTTTAAACATCAGCATTATGAGAATCCGCCTGCCACATTATTTTAAAATAATCATTCCATATCTTATTTTGAACATCATTGTCAAAAGCTTAACAGTCACCACATCCTCAATTTGGAGTGGAGAATTCTGTTCCATTACACCCATCTTAATGAAGTTTACATCAGGAAGCTGAATGGGGAGTATCTTAAAGTTTGTTCAAATATTAATGGGAACAAGCTTGCTTTCCTCCTAAAGTTAGAGAAATAATTCTCTGGAAATTACAGCAACACTGTTAGTAAAAATGAGGGTCTTAGAATTACCATTAAATGAAATTAATATCCATATTTAAGGCAGAGAGCTTTGTTAAGCAATTACAGATATTCCTTCTGACAAGATTTTCATTTTTAAAAAAATTCGAGCTTAGAAATTACTATTTGTTTTTAAAGTTCATCTAATGTATTTTATTTTCGCTAGTTACTTTAGTTACTCTTTACTAAACTCTATTCTGAATCTTCTTTAAATGTTTTAATTTTCTTTTTGACTGAAACAACCAATTCAGCTGAAAACAAATAAATAAAAAATAAAAGCAATCAGGGTTCAGAATTCTACAATTTCCCAAAATTTCTAAGCCATATGCATAATGTTGGTGGCTGTCAAGCTATTAAATGTTTATTTTATTTATATATCACATTTACATGCCGCCCAGAGACACTTTGTGTGAGATGGGCGGCTATATAAATGTGATATATAAATAAAATAAATAAATAAAAATAAATGTTACTTTATTTTTCTTAACAGTAAGTAATGTAACTTATTTAACTAAGCTCCACTAGGATTGAAACTCACTCACCCCTGTGTCTATTAAACTGACGACCACGAACTCCAGCCCTTAAGGTTGGAGGCTGAAGTCTAACCCGTCGGAAGGGTTTGGGATGATTACTACTTGTATCTGAAAAAGAAATAGTTGGGTATCAATTTTTTTTAATAGCCATGCTAGCAGTATTATTCTTGATTTTTGTACTGCAAGCCTGTGTGGGTACAACAAATAAAATCTTTATCTAGAAAATAACTGGCAGTCTTTTTTTTTACATGCAGCTATGTAGTTCATGTGAATAGTTATTTTTGTATGGAACTTCAATAATCAGTGGAAATGCAGACAAATTCCTAAACTACAATAATCCCAACATACTTTTTAAAAAGTGCTTTGTCAAACATTTGGAAGATTGATGACCAGAGTTTATCCCCAACTGGATCTTCAAGCTGCAGAGTTTGATCAGTGCAAATCCTTCCTCCTCATATTTATAGACTGCAAACTTTTCTACAATAACAATTGAAATGGTGGGGAAATACAAAGCTATCTAGGGCTTAATTATCCTTTTTCTGCTGTCCCATATCAATGAAAATTCATTAAGTACTCGAAATGATGATTCTCCAGATCCAGGATTTGGTGGGGCTCTACATACCTGCAGATGAACTAGAAGGAGGATCTTGACTGGTAGAAGGAAGATCTGATTCATCAGGTGCTTGAGATGATTCTTCCTCTTGCTGGCTATCAATGTCTAGGCCTACCTCTGAAGTAATTCTAGAAGAAAAGTGATACACACAGAAGAACAGTGAAATGTGAATAACAACAACAACCATAACACATAAAACATATACATACAAACACATCCCACAAGGGGTTTCAGCCAACCTTGCCTAGGGCCTGGGAGAACAGCCAAGTCTTTAAGGCCCTCTGGAATATCTTATCTTTTATTCAGAAAACCATTATAACTCTGAAAACACCTTACACTTTATGTTCACCAACACCTAGTTATGGTACAGGAGATGACAGATATTCAGTGATGAAACCACATTTGGTCTTTATGTTCTAGCAAAGTAACAGTCGTCATATCTGTGAGAACCAGCAGGGAGGCTTTCGTTTTGCAAGGACTCCTCTCTTTGGTGGTAGGGGCAAGCAAAAATGGAGGCAGGGAAGTGAATCTCATTGGTTTTCTCCAGTTCTGTGTCAGTTCTTGGCTGATCTTGACTACAAGCAGTATGTATTGAGACTATTACAGTTGAGCAAAATAATAATGATGCCTTGCTCCAAGAAAACTTTAGTCTCTAAAGGAAGGCAGTTTTTCAAAAAGCTCAATCGAACTCCATGAAAATTTGGCAATGAAGTTACTGAACTCATCTAGCAAATTTAATAGTAGTGGCTCTGTAGACAGATTGTGATCAATAAAAAAAGTACATCACTATCCAGAATTAACAACACTTAGCCTTAGCCAGAGCAACAAAGTCAGATAAAAGAAAAAATACTCACTCTGTTGCATACAAATGTCCCCAAAGAATTTACTGGTACTTCCCAATTTAGCTTGCTGTTAAGTTTCAATGTCCCCAATATCAAAAGATAACTAGTCTGAACTAGACTGCTATGAATGCTACTTTCCAGTATGATTCTAATGAACTTGCAAATCACACTCTGGAACAATCTGGCAATTTTATTTAAGGACTGTATCCCTGAAGAGGGAACAAAGAGGAAAGCAACTCCTAAGGACTAATAATAATAAATAATTGGCAGAATGCTACAGGCCCAGGTGTAAGTTAATCTGGCAGTGTTGTTGCTGCCACAGCCTAGCAGGAACAGAGAACTGAAATTCTGCCTTAGGCAATCCATCTGTTGTGGCACAACACATCCTATCCACACATATTGAGCTTTACATGAATGAGTATTAGAGTGTTCTCAGACTGGGAGGGAGTGAAGAGTATATTACTCTTGGAGAGGTGGAAATATTCTGATAGGTCAAACCACCATATTGTTTGATTGAAAATTATAAAAATATTCCGTGACAGGTAATGAATGATCAGAACATAGGCATTTCAATTAGGTTGTACCCAAGTTGCTCCGGTGCTTTTGCAGGCAAAATCTGGTCTTAGCCAACTGAAATTTTCAGCTTACCCTTCTGATTCTGCCTCCACAAAAACCTCATCGCCATCATCTCCTGTTCCAGATTCTGAAGTGGTTGATAAGTTACCAGTCGAAGTTGTAACCATTGGAACAGACTGGGAGGCATGTTCTGAAGCATCAGCGGAGGCGCTTTCAGTAAATACAGATACTGGAAGTAGAGGGTGGTGACAGCAGAGTGTAAGCCAAAGCTATATTATGCTTTCTCTCTCCCCATCACACTAAATGCCACAATAAACCCCCCCCCCCAAGGTTTGGAAAATAGAAATATGTGCTGTATGTGTATTGGTATACATATCTATATTGTTGAACATTCTTTACACGCCTTGCTTCTGTTTCATGCAGGTCAGAACAATTGGCAGCATCAAAATATTAAATCTGCCAACTCTATCCCTATGCACTCCTCTAGCCCCTATTGCTAAACATTTGTAGTGCAGCATCTTACCAAATCCTTCAAAAGGTTTAACATGGCTTTCAAATTAACCCCACCGCCCCCAAATTCTCTACTAAAGCCAAATCATAGCAGCTTCACCCACCGTGATTCCTGGACTCTCAAAAAAAAGTTAAAAATGCCCCCGGCTTCCCAAAGATTGCCTATGTCTGCATTACAGATTCAGTAAACACATGTTTACTGCTTTCAGGGCAAGTGCAACCACAGGAAAACTGTGGCCTGTGGTGAGTTTTAGAAGTCTCTGGTTGTAAAGCAATGGCTTCACTGCCTTCCTTGTGGTAAAGAAGATTGAATTTTATGTTCATTTGGGGTAGGGGAGAGGATCAGGATGAGAGAAGATAATTAGGGATTTGTGAGATATTGTATGGAAAACAGATGTCTACTTCGGTATAGACACAGCATAAGAGGAAGTGGGAGAAATTGGGGAAGGAAAGAGACTAGAGTATCATAAAGTACAGGTAGTCCTCAGTTTAAGAACGAGTTCAATTCCCAAGGTCTGTCCTTAAATCAGCTTGTTATGTAAGCCAGAACTGTATTATTGTATAATATTCTGTAAGTAGCATTGTGTAATAAACTGGAACCATTGTGTATTTAACTTGCATTTTGCTACAATAGGCTCCATTCTTAACTATGGGTCATCTGTAAACTGGGCATTCTTAACCCGGAGACTACCTGTACAGAGTTTCTATTATGTGAAAGTGATAATAAACTTTGATCTTTTGATTTTACTTACCTACAACATTTTCTAGAGGTTTTCTGATTTTGCTTTTTTTTTTAAAAAAAAAAAATGCCCTTAGTGCTCTACGCTAAATAAAGGATTCTTTGTTCAAGATCATAAGAAATTTAGCATCACAGACACCCTGCTTCTCTACTTACACAGATTTGTTTCTAACCTCTACTTGAGAACTACCAGTTAGTGTCTCTCTGGATATCAACATCTGTTTTCCACCAAATAGCTCCATTTCTGTCAACAAACATTCTGTCATAACAAGAACAACACCCCTTATGAATGCATAACTTGTAGAAACTGAGCTCACCAGGTGCTGCAACTTGTAGTGGAGTTGTTGGGACACTACGACCTCCTGATTCTTCTTCATGGGCAAGAAAGAGAGGTGTTTCATACATCCCTAGCCCTATCAACAATTTGACATGAGTTACTTTGACGCAGCCTCAAAGGCACAATATACAGCCAAGAAAGCATTTGATTCCCTGCCATCTTAACAGAAAGGCCCAATGGTCTTTAACCCTAAAACGGGTTAAAAAAAAAAAAAGAAATTCAAAGCTCACCTAACCTTCATA